TGTATGTGAATATATGTAACACTGTAATCATGACCGCCCACGCCCGAGCAGTTAGCTAGGGTGGTAAATAAACATAAAACTAAAAAAAAGCAGCCCTGAGAATTATGTTTATTTACACGCTCATTATACTAAATACAATACTGTAATAATGATAATGACCGTGAAATCGATATCATTGCCAGGGGTCGCTGTAGCATTGATGCTGTTATTGATGTTCATAATGATGATTATGATAACAGATACTGTAGAGACGATGTTCTGTAATTTTATAAATGATGATAATGATGATGATAACAATTAAATCAAACAACTGACAGCAACTAAAGTAAAGAAAATTATAAGAAATATCAAATAACATAAAAAATCCAGATTAATAAACAGTAATAACTAAAAAATGATCAATAAAGTATTCAAACTAATAAAAGGTAGATGAAGATAAGAGAATGAATGAACAGATAAACAGATAGATAAATAAAACAAATAGATAAACAAATAATAAAAATGAACAAGAGGATATAATTTAGGTAGATAGATTAAATAGCTTAATATTAATAGATATAAGCGAATAGATAACAGTAAATGAAAATGAATAAGAAATACTTTAGATAGAAAAATAGATAGAAATTTATTATCAAATAAAGGAATATATAACAACAGCAACAACTACAACAGCAAACAAAACAACAAAAATAGATAGGATGCAGCATCAGCATAAAGGTTAGAAGGCACGACAAGATGTCAAAGGTCAGGTCAACTTTACTTTTTCTTTTTGCTTCTTCTTTTTTCTTTCATTTCTTCTGTTGTTTATTCTCTCTGTAGTTTTTCTTTTCTATTTTATCTCTTTTATGACAGTTTTGGTGTCTCTCCTCCTCCTTTTATCTTCTCTTCCTCCTCTTTCTCCTCTCTTCCTCTCCTCTTCCTCCTCCTCCTCCTTATCCTTATATATATATAATATATATATATATATATATATATATATATATATATATATATATATATATATATATATATATATATATATATATATATATATATATGCAAATATATATAAACCTACACACGCCCACGTATCGAGGGAAAAACTAAGTCATAGTTTTACAAAAAATAAAAAACAAAAATCCTTTGCAGTTTATTCTCTGTTCTTTTATTCTTTGCCTTTGCCGCTCTTCCTAAAGGAAAAAATAATATTTAATAGCCTCGAGAACTCATTACTCACCAGAATTTTTTATTTTATTTATTTTTTTTTATTATTATTTTTTTTTTTTTTTTTTTTTTACATAACATGTGAGTAATGCTTACAATAATTCTCGCTGGGTTTTGAAAGCACGATGAGAGAGAAAAAAGCTAGTGTGTGTGTGCGTGTGTGTGTGTGTGGTGTGTGTGTGTGTGTGCGTGCGTGTGTGGTGTGTGTGTGTCTACCAACTTTATATATTTGTACTGGTGGTTCATTCTCTGTAAAATAAGAAATGTTTGAAGAATAGACCTTACGTAAAATGATCATCATTATAATGATGATGGTAATGATAGAAAAAGTTAATGATAATGATAATAATTATATCAATAATGACAATAATGATAATGAAAATAACAATGATAACACAATAGCAATGATGATGATAATAGCAATGGTGATGATAATGATACTGATCCTGACAACAATGATTTCAATGATCATGATAAAAATAATAATGATAACAGGGACAATAACAAAGATGGCATGATAATTATATGTGCAACAATGATGATAATGATAACAATAAGAAAAAAGATGATTATCAAGGTGAAAAAAAGAGAGACAGACAAATGAACTGAACACCATAACAAAATAAATAACTTGAATGACATTTTATTGGCAAAGTCTACAATAGGCTTTTACACGCCCAGTTTTGAAAAGCATCTTGTTTCAACTTTCTATTAAAAATTCTTCAGTCTCCATTAAGCTAGCTCGGTCCTCGCCCCTCAGTGCCTGCCTCGCCCAGTGCCATGTTTCAGTGCCACTGAGGCCGCTTGGAATATAATGCTATCGGCTCGTGTTTCATGGTCATTCTGGCGAAATTCTACGGTATGTTGAACGTCTAAAAACGTCGAATAGTATAGACACACACAAACACACACACACACACATATATATATATTTGTGTGTGATTGTGTGTATGTGTGAGTGAGTGAGTTTGTGTGTGTGTGTGTGTGTGTGTGTGTGTGTGTGTGTGTGTGTGTGTGTGTGTGTGTGTGTGTGTGTGTGTGTGTGTGTGTGTGTGTGTGTGTGTGTGTGTGTGTGTGTGTGTGTGTGTGTGTGTGTGTACAAGTGTGGTGTGTGTTTCACAACAGACAGGGAACGAGACTGAGATCCATACTCTTCTAAACACACACACACACACACACACACACACACACACACACACACACAGAAATGAAAGCGTTTATGACTGGCGGAAAAGAGGGAAATCGCCCGGCGCTGCTCTTTTAGTCTACACGAACCATTTTTCACTTTTCACTCCGACTGTGACAGTTTTGTTATATACTTCGTCAACTTCAGTTCGTTTGATCTCTCGTCGTTGGGTCTGTCTTCTGTACACGCACATGTGTATGTTCATGTACGTCTGCCTGTAAGTGTGTGTTTAGTTACGTTTGTTTGTTTGTTCTGGTGTCTGTTTGTTTGTATGTATGTATGTATGTACGTAAGCTTGTAGGTATTTTGTAAGTTTGTATGTAGGTATGCTTGTATGTTTTTCGTATGCGTGTCTGTATGTGTGGTTTTATGCATGCAGGTTTGTATGTATTTTGTAAGTGTGTCTGTTTGCCTATATGTGTTTTTATGTTTGTGCGTATTTGTATTTCTATGTTTGTGTGTATGCGTATTGTTATGTTTGTGTTAATGTGATTTTCTATTTATGTGTATTTTTCTATTAGTGTGAATGTGCATTTTCTATGTGTGTGTGCTTTTTTCTTTGTGTGCATGTTTATTTTCTACGTTTGTTTGTATCTTAATTTTCAGTGTTTGTGTGTATTTTAATTTCCCATGTTTGTGTGTATATGTAATTTCTATGTCTGTGCTGTACTGTGTATAAGTGTTCCATGTCAAGCGTACTTTTCCCTTTCGGTGGAATTCCAATCCACATTTTTCCACAGCTGAGTCAAGGAACCACTTCTTTGACCCTCCTCCCTCCATCCATCGAGTGACCTGAATTCCACGGCCAAAAGGTCACCCAGCGTCGCCCTACACCACCCAGGGTCAACACACACAAGGTCATGCGTGAGTCATCCGTCAGCGCGTCAGAGGGATCCCAAAATTCATTCATAATTCGTGGACCATTCAAGAAACCATTACGGAAATGAGTCGTATCGATTTATCAATACGATGTCAAACAGGTGATGATATGTTATGTTTGTGTGCCGTGTTTAAGGGGTTCGCTTAGCATGCGTCAGATGTTATTCATTGGTTGGAATGTTGGTTGTGTGTGAAGGGGGGAGAGAGGGGGGAGGTAAAGGAAGGGTAATGGAGAAGGGGTGGGAAGGGGGGGAGGGGGTGTGGGGGAAGAGGGAGGGAGGTAAGGGAAAGGGGAATGGAGAAGGGAGGGAGAAGGGAGAAGGGGGAGGGAGGGGAGAAAGAGGGAAAGGGAGAAAGGGGGAAATGGGGGAGGGGGGAAGAGGAAGAGGGGGAGGGGAAGGGAGAGGGAAAAGGGGAATGGGGAAAAGGGAAAGTAAGGGGAAAGAGGAGGAAGGGGGGATGGGGACTGAGGAATGGCGAGAGAATGGAGAAGGGGAGAGGAGAATGGAAAAGTGGAGGGAGGAAATGGAAAGGGGAGTGGGGAGGGAGGAGAAGAAAATGGGAGAAAGGAAGGAAGGTAGGAGAAGAGTGGGCGTGAACACAGTATGTATCAATCTATTGTTTATAATGTTGATGTTGACATTTGATGATCTTTTGTTTCTTTCTCTCTCCTCTCTCTCCTCTCTCCTCTCTCTCTCTCTCTCTCTCTCTCTCTCTCTCTCTCTCTCTCTCTCTCTCTCTCTCTCTCTCTCTCTCTCCTCTCTCTCTCTCTCTCTCTCTCTCTCTCTCTCTCTCTCCTCCCTCCCCTCACACACTCTTTCATTCTATGACGTAAAACAAAATAATAATGACAATTTATCACACCAAAATGGTTCGAGTGAGTTATTGTTTTAGAAATAATAGTTGACCATTTGTCAGCATTAAGATGATTGCTTTGTTTTACACAGACGCTAACACACACCCACACGCACACACATGTGTGTGGGTGTGTGTCTATATGTATATGTA